CCTCTTTTATAAGGACATCTATCATTGGTTTTAGGGCTCATTCTAATCCAGTATAACCTCATCTTAACTAATTATTTCTGAAAAGATCCTATTTCCAAATAAGTCAAATTCTGAGGTTCCAAATGGACATAAATTTTGGGGGACACTACTCAATCTACTATACTACTTTATAGAAATATTATAAGAACTAAGTTAACATAAGGATATATAAGGATATTACTATTTACTTAATATACATTAAGTTATAAGTATTTGTAATAGTATATAGCATATATTCAGAGGTTTGGGATATTAGTTCTTACTAAGGTTGACACGGAAGAAATGCTTATTCTTTCCTATCACTATTTTCTGTACATAATATCAATATTCTAGTACAGGTAGAAATGCTGAGTCATTATATTAATTTAGAATAATGCTTAACTCTCTCCTTGAAACTATTTCCTTGAAAAGCATACATGGCTCATATTTCTTTCCTGTCTAGTAAAATAGCTAAGATATTAAATAATGACAAAGGACACTTTAATTTTCCAAATTCTTACTTCAGATTTTGATCATTCAGGGGGAAAAAATGCTGACTAGCCTGCTTGTATTCATTTTCTGCCAACTGTCCTTAGGCAGTGACCTCTGTATGACTTTCCACATTGCAGAGCTCAACCTCTCATGGGGCCTAATTTCCTTCCATAATAATTTGTCTACAACTGGCTTTAAAAAGGCATTGTTTTGATAGAATGCTCCAGATTAAAAACAGACTATAACTTTAGGAGAGTAGCCCCAGTTATTTGATGACAGGACAGCTTGAAGATGCAGCACATTGATGTTGAGCCTAATACAATTTTTTAACACTAAGGAAATAAAAATATATAGATATTACAAGCAGAATTTGGAAAAAAAATGTTTACTCTGCCATTTAAGCAACACAATTTGGAAAAGTGTAAAACAGTGAGATGAAGGCTAATGAGTCTTTATTTGTACCACATCTGTTTTGTTCACAGCCACACAGTCAGATGTTGGCCCAACTAGCACATCATCAGTACTCACATATTTGTGGAAGGACCATGTGACTGCATTGCTTGCAGGTGGTTGGGAGAAATGGAGAAACTTCTGGTTATTTTTCTGTGGCATTATTAACTTCATTTTCCAAGTGGTCCATTTCCTCCAAATCAGATTTTATTACCCTCCTCTTCCTTTATCTTTTCCACCTTCTTTCTCCCCCAATACTTGGAAGTATAAAGTGCCCAATTGTTATGTATTGGTGTGGTAAGCATGACTGTATGTAACAGAGGTTTGAGAAAAGTGAAAGTGAAGAAAATAAAATTTTTCCTTTTTCTTCCTTCTAATATTCTCAGGTGAAAAATTAGCTACTTCTGAGAATTATTTGATTCCAGAGTTGTAGGGTGAAATGGATATAGTGAAGGTATCGACCAAAGAATTTTTTAAAATACATTTTTTATCGATTTCAAAGAGGAAGGGAAAAGGAGAGATAGAAACATCAGTGATAAGAGAGAACCATTGATTGGCTGCCTTCTGCACACGCCCCACTGGGGATTGAGCCTGCAACCCAGGCATGTGCCCTGACTGGGAACCGAACCCGAACCGTGATCTCCTGGTTCATAGATTGATGCTCAGTCACTGAGCACACCAGCCGGGTTCGCCCAGAGAATTCTTTATCCTTAGAGCAGGTGTTCTTACACATGACTCCATGAACAGCCTTACGGTAGCCATCCTGAGCTTCATGAAATAGTGTGCACGTTGTGTGTACATATGCACGCTTGTTGTGTCTATGCAGATTTATTGTGTGTACGTGCATATGTGTGCCATTGTTGAAGGAAGGGACTTTGTTGATATCTTTTGTAATTCTCAAAAGAAATTAACTCCAAATAGGTAGAGAACCACTGAATTAGAAGGCTTGGTTTATATTGTTTGTCTTTTGTTCTGCTTTAGAGTTTCAGGTGGGACAATTCTGAGAATATTTGAAAGGAAAATGGACAGTGTATGAAATTGCCAAACCATTTCAAATTTTGGGTCAAGAAGAGGTTTTCCTTGAATTACCAACCTCTTTTTGAATTTGTTGAGCTGCTGTTTTCATGTCCTCAAAAGTCGGACCTTAGGATGCTTAACTCACAGTCGTTATCTCTGGCGGTTGAAGTATCCAGGCAGACTGATGTCATTTGTTTCCAGAACAGCATCAGAGCCCTTCAGGGCAAATACTCTTACTAAGTCCTTGAGCAGGCACAAAGAAGATGATATTTTGTGGTACAATGAGCCATCCTTGCATAACTAACATATTTCTAACTGAACCTACAAACCAAACAAAAAAACTAATCTTCTCAAAGAGCAAACCTCTTTAAAGGTTTTTCTTTGTTTCTGGAAGCTTTGGTTTGTCCTTTGTCTGGTATGAGCCTCTTGTCTGGTTTGAATCTCTTTCTTAACCCTCTGCGCTGAGTACATGATGTGCATACTTGATTCAAATCCTAGTTTTATTTTATCAACACTTATATGTGTTTCCCAACTCTGTGCCTTAGTTTACAGCCTCTGGTATTCAGCTTTGTATCATAACAGATTCTCAATTAAAATAGCTGTGGCTGTTGTTAATAAAGCTTCCTCTATTGTTCCAGGCAATATCTTATCTAATAAAATTGTTTCCACACAATTTACTTATTGATTGATTCATTTATTCACACACACAGAAAAAAATGTATGGCCACCTGCTATATGCTATGGAGGCTTCTAGTTGCAGGGAAACAGAAAGATGAATATTATCCATGAAATCACTGCTTTGTGCTTGGTCAAAGCATGTGGCAATCAAGGTTGTCCAGAGATTTAAGCCTATTGAAGCCTCCAATCTTTAAATAAATTGGTTGACTATTTATCTAGAGTAGTGGTTCCCAACTGAGGAGATTTGACGCCCTACCTACCTCCCAGGGAAAGTTGGCAATTCCAGAGACATGTTTAATTGTAGCAAATAGAGGGTACTATTGGTACCTGGTTGGTAGAGGCCAGGGATGCTGGTAAACATTGACGCAAACAGGATTGTCCCTCTCAGCAAAGAATTATCCGCAACAAAATGCCAATAATGCAATTATCCTGGGAAGGGTGATGACACTAGAGGCAGTGCCCTCTCCTTGGAGGTCCTGAGCAAGTCAGTTCTTACTAAACTGACCCACACAAGCATTAAAGACCCTTCTGAAGGATGGAATTTCCTACATCACAACTACACTCCCAGGGATGAATTGGCATTCCTCAAAGTTCAGCCTTCCAGTTGCCTATCCCTTAATCTGCCTCTGCTGTTCTTAAGGGGCTTTACAATTTAGGGAGGTCCACCAAAAATGTACAACTCTGAACTGCTGCTAAACTCTGTGCTGTACCAAAATGATGATGCTCTGTGATAAATACCAAGAGAGCTCAATGAGATCAGTGCTTCGGGAGCACTGAGCAATGAAACTATCTGGCAGGTCTGGGAAGGCTTTGTAGAGCAGAAATTTTGAAGGGTGTACTTGCCACATAGCTGATAAAAGACACTTTCCTCTTTGAAGCCATACCCTGCATCATTGCATTTATAACCAGTGATGAGACCTAGCCAGTTTGGCTCAGTGGATAGAGCGTCAGCCTGTGGACTGAAGGGTCCCAGGTTCAATTCTGGTCAAGGGCACATACCTGGGTTGCAGGCTCCTCCCCGGCCGGGGCTCTGGTCAGGACATGTGCAACCAATCAATGTGTTTCTCTTACATCAATATTTCTCTCTGTCTTTCCCTCCCTTCCACTCTCTCTAAAAATCAATGAAAAAAAATATCCTTGGGTGAGGATTTAAAAAAAAAATTTATATATATATGTATATATATCTCCAGTGACTAGATATTCTAGGCTGCCCATTCAGGAAAACCTGCTTCCATATTGTTCTACATCAAGCAAGACTCCTTTAGAAATCATGCAAGCCCAACTTCATAGGCTTTCCTTTCACTGGCTTCTTTCTATTAAAGGTTTCAATAGTAGGTAGTTTCAACTGCGCAATTGTAGGTATTAGAGTTTAGAAGCAGTTCAGAGTTATACATTTTTAGCAAGTGAATAAGTTTGGTTTTTGTTTTTTTAAATTTATATGTACTGCCTTGCCGGTGTGGCTCAGTAGTTGAGCTTTGACTGATGAACCAGGAGGTCACAATTCGATTCCCAATCAGGGCACATGCCAGGTGCTGGCTCAATCCCCAGTAGGGGGCATGCAGGAGGCAGCCAATCAATGATTCTCTCTCATTATTGATGTTTCTAACTCTCTCTCCCTCTCCTTTCCTCTCTGAAATCAATAAATATATTTATTTTAAAAAGAAAGTGCAGGTCACAATTTGTGTAGATGTTTATAAATGCTTTTCAAATACAATCTATAGGAAAATCCAAGAGAACATCATTACTCCCTGTTAAATTAGTGTAATGGCATTAAATGTATTTGTGAAGCTATTAATTGTAAAATTGGTCATGATGGTTCAAAAGAATGGAATAGATGTTAAATGTCTGATATAATAATGAGGTTTTCATAATGTAACTTCCACCAGGAAGTTACAGGATTTCTCTTTACCCTCTGGAAATTGCAGGTTGATTGGAGGTACCTACACATTATGGAAATTTTCTCTTTCAGTTTATAATCAGTTATGACATTTCACAAGGGGGTAACTTTGTATAATTGAAACCAACTTTTAAAGAAGTTATCTTTTTTTCTGGTAATTTTACAAAGATCTTTCATTAGTATTTTCCTGTTATAAATACAATACAGACACATCTCCAAAATACCATGAGTTCAGTTCCAGATCACTGCAGTAAAGCCAGTCATAATTTTGCTGGTGGAGGGTCTTGCCTTTAATATGTAAAAAATAAAACAAATCCAATAAAATGAAGTATGCCTGTAATTCATTTTAAAAATCTTATTCCTTTTAGTTTTCACTATAAACTGAGTAGATACAAACATGCATGTCAGTTTCATTTTTTCATTAAAACGTTTTTCTCTTTTATTTTAGTCTGATGCCAATGCAAGTTACTTAAGAGCGGCTCGAGCTGGACACTTGGAAAAGGCCCTTGACTACATAAAAAACGGAGTTGACATCAACATTTGCAATCAGGTGAGTTGTGGCTATTGTTGTTGTTGTTGTTTTAATTCCTTAAATCTTTCATTAGATATTACCAAGACTTTCTCTTTTTTGCCAGTTTTTTTTCTGTTAAATTTCACCAGCTTGAGTTATCAAATTATTCTCTGCTTTGTTAGAGGAGTGCTCAGAAATGTAGGTATGCATCCTTTAACAATTCCTAAAATTTAGTAAGTAGTGATATTAGAACAGCGCACCTAATTTTCAAGTATTTTTATTCCCAGTTCAGGCTTCTGCACTGCCCACACACAAGTGGTTGCTGGTGGGATATTTTCCCAGAGTTCCTGGTAGACTGTTTACTCCCCGGTTTTCCATCTGCTGAGTAAAGCTTTCCCTTCCCTTTTAATCAGAATGGGTTGAATGCGCTCCATCTTGCCTCCAAAGAAGGCCACGTAGAAGTCGTTTCTGAACTGCTAAAGAGGGAAGCCAATGTGGATGCAGCTACGAAGGTTAGTATCACACATTTAATGCTTTTTATGTCACCTGCCAAACTCAGTGAGGAGTTAGCTCTCCATAAGAATCAGAGCACGTTTCTCATGAAATACTTGTCAACTCAGTTCTCTTTGAAGAACTTAAAACAGGGGGATTTGATATTTTGTGACCTGTCAAAACAAAGAAAGATGGGAGTATTGATGTATCTTGCTTTCATCTTACAGAAAGGAAACACAGCATTGCACATAGCATCTTTGGCTGGGCAAGCAGAGGTGGTAAAGGTCTTGGTTACCAATGGAGCCAATGTCAATGCACAATCTCAGGTAAACTGGCAACTCTATTGCAAAGTGATTTTGTTATAATTAACAAATAATGTTCGTTGGGTCAGGTGCTTAATTGGTTCATATATCCTCTAAGAATACAATACTGAAGAGCTACATTCAATGATTAGTTACATATTGTAGATTTTTGAAATTCATGCATTTTCTTGTTTGCAATACGTGTGTGTGAGATGTTTTAAAGTCATCTATCTACATATGACTAGTAGTTATAGACACTAATGTTTAAGGGATATCTGTAATGCACTCTTACACTATTTCATGATGCTAGCTCAGGTCCTGTCTCAGTATTTATTAATCACAGAGGAAATGTTGATGCCTATAAATGAAAACATGCTCTTAGAAGTTCAGAATAATATATCAGTGCTTTATCACATTGAAAAAGGGAAGACACTACTTAATTCCTGTCTCCTAACTAAGGCATCATTGTTAGTCCCTAAAACAGATTATAAAGAAGAAAAACAAGCAGAATAAACTATAAAAGCCCCAAAACTTTAAAATTTTCAGATTCTTTGTAATGGTTAAACACTAATCATTCATTGAATAGGTCCTCCTGTAAGTTCTCAGAATCTTGCATGAAATTCTAAGAACACCAATAGATGTCACTTGATAAACTTTGAGCCTAAAAGAATGAACTTCATTTTATTAGTTAAAAATATGGGTCCTCATTTTCCAAATTGTTCACTATTTGTGTCTCCAGGGACATGAGGTTGTGTAGGAAAGCAATCATAGCACACAAATATTCACTAAGGACCTGACCATTTTTGAAGCTGGTCCCTACTCAGACATTCCTTCTACTTGAATGCTGACACCTGTCCTGGTTTGTCAGTTTACCCAGGGTGTTCGATATTGAACAGATTGGTTATAGAACAAGACTGCAAGCTTTGCAAAAGGTGAGACAGGAGTTTATGAGGCCAGGGAGAGAGATGTTGGAGAACTGCTGGGTGTACAGCTAAGCTGTGAGTATGTGGCTTCCTGGCACTATTAGACCAGGCAGTGTGTGAAGTATTAGGCTGATTTTCTGATAGGTGTTTCAAATGAGAATTATTATTTTTAAATCAAATGATTAAATCACACAAAGTAATTAGGTGAGGCCTTTGGTTCTCAAATACTTTTTGCAAACAGGCTGTCTTCTTGCTTATGCTGGGGAGGGGGGGGGGGAAGTGAAGTGAAAGATGTCAAGCCATCAGATAATTTTGTTGGAAATATCACACTTTTTCTCTACAAAAATAGTATTTGGTTTAGTCTTTGTTCATTCTGCGATCTCATACACAAATGCAGTTATCACCTACATTTTGTTAAACCATACAAACTTGCTTTTACAATTTCTAGTTTTATCTTTTAAGATAAAGTCTCAAACTTTTTCATTTCCTTTTGATCTCCATTCTGAGTGCACCCAGTTTCTCCCCCATTTTCAGTACTGAGTATCTTTGGATATCAGGAGCCTCCTCCTGTAGTTCATGGGTCCAGAGAATGGCAGTGGCTTCCCCCTTGTTACTATGGCCATAGAGGTGATCGCTCTGGTGCCGTTAAATATCAGTGTCGTGGAAAAGAAACTTCAAGGTGCTTTCAACCACAGGATTTCTTGTATATGTGGCCTAACTTCATTCTGGTTCCTTCTGGTCAGACTTGTCTCACCTGGTCCATACCACTTACTCTGATTCCCTAGGAGAGTTCACTTGGAGTGATAACACTTTTCCAGAAAGGAATGTTATAATGGTTGAATATTGATAAGTATTGTCATTTGAGAGAGACACAGACCGGCTGACTACAAGAGAAGCATCAGGCGTTTAAACTTTTTTTAAAATGCCCTTATAACTTTTTACTGGGAAGTAAGTGGTGGGAAGCTCTGAGATAGTGGAAAAACTCTAATCCATTTCATTTCCTCCCCCGCCCCCCGCCCCAAGGGAAGAAAAGTAAGCCTCCTTCTTTTAAACATTGCACACATTCTTGACATTCTAGAGCAGCCATAGTTTTAAACCTTCCTCTGCAACATCTGGGAGAAGCTGCAGGCGAAGGGAAGCCCTAACCAGATTTTATTCCAATTTGTACACATTCTCTGGTGATGATGAAGCGAAGGAAAAGAACAGTCTGCGAAATTCCTCTTTCCTTGCAGCTGTGGTTGGCCTACATACCCTGCTTCACAATTCACAGTAGAGCATGTCTCCCTTCATCTGGACACCTGTCCCCATACGCCTTCTGAACTGCACTGTTCCATGGACAGAATAAGTAATGAGATAACCATGCAGCGGAATGGAGTTTCCATGTTAATTTCTGGTAGCAACTTTTCAATAGGAGCTCTTCTAATGAGCAAGCAGTAATGCCAGGAAATTCCACGTATGTGGCAACACATTAAAACATCACAGGAATACTAATATTCAAGAAATATGGTATTCCTGTCTAAGTGAAATTTTACCCTCTGGGCAATATTTATAGCCAGTCAGAAATAGTGCAAGGAGAGTCCCTGGCCTTCCTGAAATATAAGAATTTTTCTTACCTTGAAAATAAAAACATTGGACAACATCAAGTTCTGATCTTATAAACTGAGGCTCTGTGGAATAAGAATTTGTAGATATTATTTTGCTCTAATCCTTGTCATCGCCTTGACCTTAGGTCTTAAGTTAGTTAACTCTTTCTTATATTACCTAACATCCCAAGAATCATTTAGGCCTACCCTGAGAAAACAATCAGGCTGGATTGTGATTGTTAAGAACTCTCTGTGATTAAGTCCTTAATACAAAATTCTGCAATCATGTGAAACTGCCATGTCAGGTGGTATCCCTCACGCTTTTCTTCTTCTCTGTCTTTATTTTATACTATAAGGCACCCAAAGAAGCAAAAAGTCTTATAAAGAAGCAAATAATATATTTTTAAATATATTTTATTGATTTTTTTTTACAGAGAGGAAGGGAGAGAGATAGAGAGTTAGAAACATCGATGAGAGAGAAACATCGATCAGCTGCCTCCTGCACGCCTCTTCCTGGGGATGTGCCCGCAACCAAGGTACATGCCCTTGACCGGAATCGAACCTGGGACCTTTCAGTTCGCAGGCTGACGCTCTATCCACTGAGCCACACCGGTTAGGGCAGAAGCAAATAATAACTTATTTTAGCTACCAAAGTATTCTAAATGGACAGGTTTTCATAATGGTGCCAATAAAAAAGAGGCTCTTTCAGTGAGCCAGTGCCTCCTTAATCTTTATGTATTTTTTAATATTTCCTATAATGGGGAGATCAGGTCCTGATGAAGCGAAACACTGGGTGTGGTCCAGATAAGCCTCTGACCTTTGATCTTATAGCTCACCTCTGTATGTGCATATTGATCACCATGCCCTTCACACTTTAATTAAGAACAGCATTTAATGATGTATAAGCCTGACCCTAGGAAACTAGGATGGATAAGAGAATCTCATGGATGAAGTTTCAGCCCTTACTTAAATGACAGGAGGACTTTATTTTATTTTAGTGGGCACGAGGCAGCATGCCTCAGGACTACCCATAAAATTGTAGGTCTTCAGATTTCCATGCTTATAATAATATCAGAATAAACGTTCAGAGCAGAAGGTATTGAAGATTTTGGATAAAATCAGGCATTAAAGGACATACTTGTTCAGTATTGAGCTGCTCTGCCTTTTGAGAATTGCCTCGATTATGGCTACAGAAGAGAAAAATGTAAAATTGGGCACCCATATGTTCCTTTTGGGCCGACTCTTTCTTTGGGAAATTTCCCAAGTTAGGAAATTAATATAAAAACAGTGCTGTACTTTTTTCTTAAGAGAAAATTGCATTTTTTTTTTTTTTGAAATCTGACCATTCTCCCATTTACTGTTTCACAGAAAATCATTTCATCTGTAGGTTGTTCAATGGCAACGCATTGAAAGCCTTGTCTTATACCTCTTTGTGCTAGAGAGAAATGTTGATGTTTATTCATGGCTCCATTTTGCTCTGACTCTTGTCTACATCTTATTTCTGAGGAATTCCAGCTCTACACATTGCACTCTTCCACATTGTAAAAAGGGCTGTGGAAGGATTTAAAAGTTGTGCCTCTTAAGAATCACTCCTTGAGCTCCAGGTCTGTAAGAATAACATTCCCTAAATCTCAGTGCCTGATTTTACATTTTCTTCGTGGATCATAAATGTTTAATTCTGGAAGCTAACCTCAGAACAGTGGACGTACATTGGCCTAGAAACCAGATCAGTGTTTCTTATGTAATCTTGAACTACAGCAAACCTCTCCCTGACACTGAAAATCCATTGACATAGAATATCTAGTTGATATTTATGTCTGAGAAAATAACATCTATTTTGGACTTTTTCTTCTTAACTATTTTACTCCTAGCCCTGGTCAGTGTGGCTCAGTTGGTTGGGCATCATCCCATTCACCAAAAGGTTTCCAGGTCAATTTCCAGTCAGGGCATGTGCCTGGGTTGAGGGCTTGATTCCTGATAGGGGGCTTGTAGGAGGCAGCCGATTCATGTTCACTCTCATATCCATGTTCCTCTCTTACCCTTTTCTTCTCCCTTCCCCTCTCTCTGAAAATCAATAAAAAACCTTTTTAAAATAACAACAAAAAAACAAAAATTCCTAAATACCTTCCATCTGGAAATTTCAGTTGATGAGGAAAGATAGATATGCAGTAGTTCACTGAGCTATAAGAAAAATTCACACGGTTTTCAGTTGGTGTTTTTATTTTTTTCCCCTTAATATTATATTGTTAGTTTTTTCTTTTTCCTTGTGCTTTTGATTTTTAAGGAATATTTAAATCAACCATGGATTAAATGATCTTTTATTTCGATCACGTAAGAATATAAGAAAATAGACAATGTGATAATGGTAATCTTAATTACATTTCAGTTTTCCTAAACAGTTCTGGGAAGTGTGACAAAGATGCAACACATAGGCACATGCACATACATACACATGCAGACATACACACAGACTTTGTAACAATTACTCCATGTTTCATGCTTAATGTTAATAAAACCTTTCATGACAAAACAGAGTAACATGAATTTTCAGTGGTGTTAATAGGTAGATAATTTAAAGGGAAGAAGCTTGAATGCTTGGTCATATTCTACTGCCTCTAATTTTATGTCTCTAATCTTGACCTTGGCAACCAAATAACCCAGGTTGTTACAATTATGTGTAACAACTTTTTAACTTCCTAATTCTCAGCTTTAAGCCAAAAAAAAGGCCACCAGAGGTTGAATTATTGATAATGAAGGTAATTATATAGCAATTGATATTTATGATGAGCCTAAACTTTTGAATCACAGAAAATTGAGTAATATCTGAAAACATTTTACTTAGAATTTATTTTTATTCTTTGAAAGTGCATAATGTATAAAATAAAATTTCCAGAACATTCAGTTAAATAGAATTGCATTATGAAAAGTTAGTCAAAGAGAATTTATTATAGTTTGGAAAATATTTTGATATGTATATCTTGCAATAAGATTTTTAAATACATTGGAACAAACACAAATGTTTTTAATAAGAAGCTTTATGTATAAGCTTTATATATAAGCTTTATATACATATATAAATGCTCTTAAATGCCTACCCCTACCCTATAATTGAGTTATTGCTTTAATATTTACCTATTGCTTGTGAAACTTATGAATCTAAGTTTTTTGGCAGTTGGGCACATTTCAGACAAACCTACACACACATATATATATAGAGTGTGTGTGTGTGTGTGTGTGTGTATGCATGTATATGTATAAATATATATGTATATGTGTATATATATTTTGAACATTAAAATAGTGTCTTTGCAAAAAATGAAAGGAAGTAAACTTGCAAAAATAGACTGCTTATCAAATTCCACTTTAAAATCAAAGTTTACCCTTTTGCAAATTGGTGTTCTTTCCTTTGCTGTAAGATTCCCCATCCATGGTAAGTGTAAAGCCATTTGAAATTAATATAAATTCTTTTCAAAGTAGAAACTATTTCAGATGCTTATTTTTATGTAAAAGTATTACATATTTTATTTAAAATAGATAATGCTCAATATGTACAGTGATCAAATGTATTTTTCTTCATATCCTTTTGATATCTAGTAAGATTCTTTATTTGTGGTAGGCACTCAAGTGGTTAAATGAATGTACTTTCTTATCTAAAGTGGATATATTAATATTAATTAAACTATTACCTACAAACTACTTTCAAACTGAATTGTGAAGTATAATTGTGAATTATATTTATATTATAAATTAATTTACATTATTGTGTTTAGGTGTTTTTAGTATATGTGAATGTCTCCATTAAAGTGTTATTAAAGTATGTGTGAGCATTTCCTGAAACCTATAATATTATCAGTACAGTAGAAAAATATATTGGCTCTAGAAAGCTGCAAACATTTTACTTTTTATTTTGCAGAATGGTTTCACCCCATTGTACATGGCAGCCCAGGAAAACCACCTGGAAGTTGTCAAGTTTCTTCTTGACAATGGTGCCAGCCAGAGCCTCGCCACAGAGGTAAGACACGTGGGTTCTTTCTGTGGGGAAGTTTGCATGTTTATAGGGCATTTTGTAACCCTGGAGTTGTAACATTTAACATTTATCTCACTGGTATTGTAATTGCAATTGTGTACTAGTGTGTGGGTTCATACATTGTTATGAAATACATTAAAAAGTCTTTTTTTAATTTTTACGAATTTTGCATTGCATAGATACACTTTCTGCTCTTAACTGCCTACCCTTACCCTATAATTGAGTTATTGCTTTAATATTTACCTATTGCTTGTGAACACTTTTCTGTTTTTTATCATTTTGCTTTGAAGACAGCCACTGATTTGAAATATTTTTGTGGTAGAACATAAGTTCTGAATCAGTTTTTTTAGCATAATAATATTTGCTAGTTTAATTTAGCATAATAATATTTGACTGTATAGATTTCTAAAGTCACCTAATTGGATTAAATTCATACATTCAAACAACACTATTACACATTTATAAGTAATAAATAAAACTTGTTTTTTTTTAATCTTTGCAGCCCTGAATAGAAGAGTAATTTTCAAATAAAAAGTTATTTAAGTTGTTGGTTCTATCTTAGATAATACATTTCATTTTTAAACTAATTTGGATGGAAGATGGCAATGCCTTATGAAGGTGTGTCACACAAATCTCTTGCTAATAATGAAGGAACCACATTTGGGTTTTCCGTATTTTTAACAAAATAATTAATTAGGACAAATGATGCGGGCTTATCTCTGTCGTAATACCACTGCCCTTATTTGCATTCAGATGTGCTTCCTGAATGGCACGGGAAAGTTAGGAATAAAGGACTCACATGTAACCCCACCCCGATTTTGCGATCATGCCTTCTGGAGAAAGCACTACATAAATGCAGAGGCAGTTCACACAAAAAGAAATACAAATGGCCACACCTGTATGAAAATGTCTTCCCCGCACTCATAGTCAAAGAAATATGAATTTATTAATCAGATAAAAAAATGAGGTCTATTCTGATACCCATGAGTTGAGGGGAAAATGTGAGGTGGAAGAAACTGAAACTTTCCTACAGTCTTGGCAAAGATGATAGTTTGCTACACCACTTTCGCAGAACATTTAGCATTAACTATTAAAAATGAATATCTCACACATTTTAATTCAGCAATTCCACTTCTAAGAATTCATATTACAGGTATGTTAGGGGATAAACACGGAATACGAAGTTCAAAATAATTAATAACACTTTTTTAAAAACTGGAGAGAACCTAAATATGCACCAGTTAGGAAACTTGTTTAACATTACTGTAATTACACAAGAAAATACTATTCAGCATTATTAAAAATGAGACAAGACCATATATACATATCCTTAGTGTAACATGACTAGTGGTTGATTCTGAGAATTAGGAGGGTGCCTTACTTTTCATTTTACAGCCTTCAGTACGATTGAGGACTTTTATCATGAGAATGGGTTTTTTAATAATATTAGTCTTAACTCTAGATAAGAAATAACTGCTGAGTTGGTAACAAAGAAACAAACATGTGATAGATGTAGGGCAGTGCCTGTCTTCACACCTCAGTAGGCAGCCTGGTTGCGACCCCTCCGGGCCACAGGCGGGCTGTGCCAGGTAGTGCAGGGAGAATGGGACTGGAGCAGAGACTGTTGGGTAAGAGAAGATCTGTTCCCACTTTTGGGTGGAAACTCTAAATAATATAAGTACCCCAATGAAAGTGATCCCCGGTACTTTCTTGTCTGTGAAGGACGGGTAGTAGTATTTTCTGACTGCGAAGTACTGATCAGTAGTATCTCTCTTAGAAGCAAGCGTAAGTCCAACTTCCTGCGAGTAGATCTGAATTACCTTGTTAAGGAATCCTCAATAGCCCACTTAATTCTCTGGCATTTTTTAAGCTTTCAAGATCCAACTGTAACTAACTTAAAAGAAAATAGTACCTGAGATTCTCAAACCACTAATTCCGTCTTTTGACAAAGGATATATTTTAAAACATTTTTACTTCTTTATATTAACTTAATTTCATGTTAGCTTTTTCAGTGGCTCCAAAAAATGCAATAAATAAATGTTCTAAAAACAAATCACATTTATGTCTTCCTGGGCGTTGCTGGTGCCTCGCTACATCAACAGCAGCTGTCTGATTATCTAACGATGTTTGAACCTTTGAACTTTCTGTCTTCTTTTGGATTATTGGTATTAGAGTTGAAAAGAACAGCAAGAAATAAGGCACTTTATTCACAAAATATTTTAAGTACAATATTCCTCTCTTAGTAACAATAATATTGGTGTCATTTTACGGAAGCCTGTATTTACAGAACAAACAGTAGGGGGCAATTAAAGCATTGTTTAGGTAGCAAAGTTTTAACAGAATTAATTCATTAAATGATATGATATTGTTGTTTCTTCAATATATATTTTTTTCACATGCACCTTGCATTTTTGAATCAGGTCTTTGGCATGGCTGCGATTTTCAAACCATTTCTATGTTATTGGGTATTACATATCATATCTGTCCCATATATATCTTCCTTCTTTTTTTACTTTTTTTTATTATTACTTTTTTGTTAATCCTCACCCGAAGATATTTTTTCATTGATTTTTAGAAAGAGTGGAAGGAAAGGAGAGAGAGAAACATTGATTGGTTGCCTCCCACATTTGCCCTGACCTAGGGCCGGGAATTGAGCCTACAAGGAGGTATGTGCCCTTGACCGGAATTGAACCTGGCAGCCTTCAGTCCACAAACTGACGCTCTATCTACTAAGATGCTCTACCACCTCGATTGCTGTTTATTTTTTTGTGCAAAGTCGTTTTCTTTATGCCTGGGTCCTATGGATTTAAAAATTTATGTCAGTGGAAATGTAGCCATTTCGTTTTTATTTGGAACAGAAGTGGGTTTGGCTCAGTGGATAGAGCATCAGCCCTTGGACCGAAGGGTCCCAGCGGGCATGTACTTCATATCTCGGTTGCAGTCTTATTTGGGAGGCAACCAATGTGTGTGTCTCACATCCATGCTTCTCTCTGTCTGTCTTTCCCCCTCCCTTCCACTTTCTCTAAAAATCGATGGGAAAATATCCTCAGGTGAGGATTAACAAAATAAAAATTTTAAAGTGTATTTTTCTTTTTATTGCAGAAATAATATAATACAGAAATGAGAAAGTACAATGAAAAGCAGAAAGAAGAAAAGGCCACTGCTGATTTTCCCTAGAGATAACATTTTGTTTATTCTTCCAGATTTTTTTATACATGAACACAATACACAGAGTTACTTTATGAAAATGAGATCATATATTTACATATAGATGACTTTTCCCATAACATTAAATTACATTCTGAACTTTCTGTTCTTACATGTAAACCAGTGATCCCGTTTTGGTGATGTCTTGGTTGCAGCCTTTCTTTCTCTTTTATCTTACTTACGGCTGCCTGGAACATTATCCTGGTTATACTAATGCTCGTCCCTTTCCTCTTTCGGGTCCACTTGGAAAAGTTGAAAGGAGCAGGTGCGATCTCAGCCAGGTCTTGAAGCAATGAGAGTAGACATAATTCTTATATAAAGAATGAGGAGGAGGACATTTCAGGGGAGGGAGAGGGGAAATTAGCATGGGTTTGGATGCCAGGGTAGGAATGGTCTGTACATCCACAGTCAGCAAGGAGACTGGACAAAAGGATTTAGATGAGTCTGGGCAATATTGTCCCTTCAGTGTTTTAGGGCCGATATTTTCCGCATCTTTGAATATAAACGTGCTGATTTGTATTCAGTCAAATAAATGGTAGGAGGCCTTATCCGTTTTCCAGAAAGGAAAAGAATGAGGGAAAGGATCTTTTAGAAAGGCCAACAAGACACTAGTATGCAAGTGACTAGGTTTTCTCTTTTTCCCTTACAAATGCTTTTCTATTACAGTGACCCTTAATTTGTGCCACAAGGACTACAGAATAAAACATCATGACCCAATTAAAGTAATAAGTCATTTAATTGCCAGTTCTCTAGTAAAAACAATTTTTAAATATTCTCTTGAGTTGTGTGGTAATGAAAGCATTTCAGAAGTAAAATTTGTGAGCCAGTCTCAGAATTTTCCTCTGTGCTATGTATTCTACAGTCAACAACACCAGATCATCCACAAATAAATTAACCACGAGAAATCTGTAGCTGTCTCCTGTTTGTCAATTCCTAGGGCAATACAAAATGTACAAATATTTGTGTGGGAATTTATTCTAGGCATATTTTGCATGGTCCCTGTGTCTTCTCTCTTTATTCAGAGAAGCCAAGAGTCTTTTATGTAGACCTTTCTTACAACAGCAATGATTACAATTAATTAATTCATACAGTCTGATTGAAAACCAGGTATATGATAGGCAACAAGGGACAGTGATGAACCGGACAAGCATATTCCCCAATTTTAAAATATCAGTGGAATCCAGCAATCCCACTTATGGGAATATATTGTAAGAATCCCAAAATACCAATTTGAAAGAATGCATGCGCCCTAGCTCGTTTTGCTCAATGGATAGAGCATCTGCCCAGCCTGAAGGGTCCCGGGTTCAATTTTGGTCAAGGGCACATGCCTGGGTTGTGGGCTCAATCCCCAGTAGGGGGATTGCAAGAGATAGCCAATCAATGATTCTCTCTCATCATTGATTTTTCTATCTCTCCCTCTCCCTTCCTCTCTGAAATCAATAAAACTATATATATAAAAAGAACATATGCACCTCTATGTTCATAGAAGCTTTATTTACAATAACCAAGATCTGGAAACAGCCCAGATGCCTATCGGTAGATGAATGGGTAAAAAAATCTGTGGAACATATACACAATGGAATACTACTCGGCCATAAAAATAAGGAAATGTTACCATTTCAATAGCATGGATGGACCTGTAGAGTATTATACTAAGTGAAATAAGCCACTCAGAGAAAGACAATTATCATATGATCTCACTTATATGTAGAATCTAATGAACCAAATAAACTGATGAACAAAATAGAAACAGAGGCATAGATACCAGTACATGGAGCAGCCTGAGAGCTGTCAGAGGGGAGGGAAGGCGGGGGATTGGATTAAAGAAGGTGAAGGAATTAGTCAAAGAACATATATACATAACCCATGGACACAGACATCAGTGTGGTGATCACCAGAGGGAAGAGAGGGTAGCGACTGGGTGTGGAGGTGGGCAAAGAGGGGGGAAATGAGAACATCTGTAATAGTATAATCAATAAAAATAAAGGGGGGGAAATCAGTGGAGATTTTTATAGCTTACTTAAATTAGTTCCTTTGAAAAATGTGACTGGATTTAACCTGGAATGTTATTGTTTTCACTAAGATTATATTACGGGTATTAAAATTATGGCTTTTTAAGATTCTTTTTAAATTTTCAAAATTTACTCAATTAATGCACATCACTTTTTAACAGAAAGAAAACCCCATAAAGTTATTGAAATTTTCTTATTTTCCGCTTTGATATATGTATATTGGAAAATGTCTTTTCACATATCCAGGGGTGAGCAAAAGTAGGTTTATAGTTATAATACAAACAAATAATAATTTGTAAATAACAATACAAGAAAAAAAAACTCTGTGTTTCACGTACTCACGGCTATAAACCTACTTTTGCCAACCCCTATATGTTTACTTGCACGTGTTAGCTTTCGTAACCCTAAACAAAAATCGACCCTTGGTCACTTGATCGCCTTCTTATTTGTTAATCAAAAAGAAAATATGCATTGGAACCAACCTTGACCCGTCCATTTATCTACAGGATGGCTTCACGCCATTGGCAGTGGCTTTGCAACAAGGTCATGATCAAGTGGTGTCCCTCCTGCTAGAAAATGACACTAAAGGGAAAGTGCGGCTTCCGGCTCTTCACATCGCCGCCCGAAAGGATGACACGAAAGCTGCCGCCCTGCTGCTGCAGAATGACCACAACGCAGACGTGGAGTCCAAGGTGAGGCGCTGGGGAAGCTCCTCTCCTGCAGCCATCCTGCGTAGGCACCCCAACTTTCAGATGCTTGGCCTCCCTTTTGGCAAGCTGCTGCCAGACTTGCAACTCCACTGGCAGGGATAAACGCACGTGTCCCAGTCAGCCAGTGGAAGCACCTTCCCCTCACCCCTTAAAGCTAGGAAGTCACCCTGGATGCTGCCCTATGCATGCTAACAGGGAGGCCCCCTCAAAATCGATGCATATGAACCTGATCGTTTCCTCCCTCGTAATAGATCTGTAATGACCTTAACTCTTCAGCGCAAACATCAGAGTGAAAAGTTACAAAATGCTAACAACAGTGTGTGCAGATCATCCTTTGGTTGCTAGCTAAGGTGGCAGGAGACACACTGAGTGTTGGCCACCTGTGGAGAGCGTGCCAGCAGCCAGAGTCCTGGCCAGAAATTCCCATTGTCCTGACATGTATTCCTGGAAAATCTTGGAAGGAACGAGGCATTTGGAGTAGGCCACCGTGTAGCCTTCCTTCAGTCTAGCTTTCTTTCTGTGCCTTTTGTGCTTCCATCAGAGCTTTCGTCCTCATTCCTTAGCTGCCGTGAGCTTTCTGCAGTCCACGTCACCGACAGCGAACTAACCGTTCATTTTTTCCTCCTCTTTGCTTCCCAATGTGTTACCCTAGATGGTGGTGAATAGAACAACAGAGGTACATATCTATATACATGTACATAGAATCTGTATCTGCATCATCGTGTCCCCATCCCTTAGTGCTGCGGCCTCATTTCTTTCCCTTCTTCTTTGCATTGCCTTCTGTAGGCTAGATACCTGCTTTCTACCCCTGCCCCCAAAGTAGCATGTGCTAGAGAAGATAGTAGTTTGGTTACCAGGGCTTTCTGCAGCTGAACCCGGTGTTGGAAAGGAAGAATGAGGAATCCTTGAATCTTAAGGGGATTGCCATAGAGGTGTGTGAGATGAAGCATTTCCAACACTTGAGATGCTTACCAGCTCTACCCAAAGCTGCAGACAACCCTGCCATTCTCTCCTCTAGGACTGATTATCTGTAGAGTTCTGCATGACACTTACCCGCAGTGGTGTCAGCAAAATGAAAGTGGCCTCAGAATGGTACCACTATGACCCACCCTTCCACAGGAGTCAGTGAACTAGCTAGCATGGCTGCGAAGCTTGCTAACAATGTAGAAATGCATCTAGTTCCTATAAGGTTTCAATCTTTGGGGACTAAGTGAATCGCTGCATGTTTTAGCATTTTTTTTTTAAGGAAGTAAAATGACCTTGGTAGGAATAATCCAGAAAAATGTGTTCTCGAATAGGCACTTGATAATAAAGAGACCAACCAACCAGTGGATTCTTTCTAGGATGCAGTCACCCACTATACAGTGCACCTCTTCCCCAAAATTGCCTTTATCTTTATAATTTGATCTTATATTGAATACATAAAACAAATCAAATTTTGGCAAAGAGTATCAATGGACAATTCTGCCATCAATAGTAAAACAGTTGGTACTAATTGAACTTTCTATGAGCTATAAGGATTTTTCTTGTCATCCCTATTTTAACTTTTAAAACGTTGGCTTCTCTATGTACTGCTACCAGATTCCTAAAACTGCTCAATCTCCGCCCTTGGATCCTTCCTGGCTCTTCCTCTGCCTACGAGTCTGGCGTTTATTTGAAACCCTGTGAGCAATTGGCACTAACCGAAAGAAACCTAGTACAGAATGGAATGCAGACCTCAGCATATTTTGCTTCCTCATTTTTATTTGGGCGGGGCCTTGATCCTGGCATGTCAGATGGGGGCCGGCAGGACTCCACTGAATGTCTCCTGTTTTCTCCTTGCAGAGTGGCTTCACTCCGCTCCACATAGCGGCTCACTATGGAAACATCAATGTAGCCACGTTGCTATTAAACCGAGCAGCCGCCGTGGACTTCACTGCAAGGGTAAGAGCGCTGCCCTGGGCATGCCTTTAAAGCATTTGAGGTGATTCTTAACCTTCCTTTCCCAGCATGAGCAGGAGGTAGAGGCAGGTGGCCTTGCTTTGAAACAGGTATGGTATTTCCTAGCAGAAAAAATAAACCAAGATGGGGTTGAGGGGTGATAAATACATGTACGCGCATATATGGAAGATGGGGTTCAAGTAATCCTGACTGGGAACCACCAACCTTTCCGCAAGCTGAAATGTCTGAGACTGGTAGAAATTGGTCACGTGTAGCCACCGGGGCTTTAGGTATCAGGATCTTGACCTTCTGGTTGGGAATGCTCTGGGATATCTGGAGGAGGCCCTAACTTGAGAACTCAAATAATAGAGGCCATCTTTTGCTTTTATCTTCTGTCCCCTACAAACTAGCAAAGTGAGTAGCAAGATTCTGTCACCTGAGTGAGCTCATATTCCTGGAGAAAGGAATTAGCGTCCTGTGTATCATGGACAGCAATTGGACGCTTGACCAGAGTAACACTGCTCAGAATGTAAAAATCGGCTCAGTGCTAGGCTAACTCCTCAGAAACATCATCATCAGAAGTAGAAATGAAGAAGGAAGCAGATTGGAGCAGCGGCTAACAGCGTGGGCTCGAGATTTAGTCTCCCTGAGTTCAAATTTGGGCTTTAATTTTCCTCTCTCTGCCCACGAATTTCCTCCTTTGTAAGATAAACGAATATGAATTATGACGTTATATGATAATAAAATATTAGTATCACTCCCCGAGTGGGTTACTGTGAGAATTAAGAACAGAGAGTGTGTGTAAAGCACTTGGCCATGTCTGACATATCACAATCGATCGCAGCAGCAGCACTGATTTTGAACATAACATGGCATAATACTAGTACTAGTAGTATCAGCAGCAGTAAACGTAATACTGTCTTGGAAGGAGTTACTGGGTGCAGATGCCAGCTAAGCATTTTTGCCTCGTTTATCCTTATATCCAGAAAAGTATTACTTATCCCTGTTTTATAGAAGAGGAAACCAAGGCTCAGAGATAAGAAGTAGCTGGTCCAGGATGACACCTTGAAAATGAGAAAAGGCAGGATTTCAGCCCCCAAACACTTACTCGCTCCCGTGTTTCGTCTCCCATAGGTGACTTTCAGGATTCTTTTTTCTTCTTATAATTTATTAGTCCAATAAAAATTAGTAAGAGCTCAGCTTGCACTCATATGAAAGCTATTTCCTACCCTTTCGTCATCAGCTTGCTAAGAGCCTTCCTGGTTTCAGTGACTCGGGAGTGCCCGTCAGCTCATGCCACTCTGTTCTTCCTGCATCCGCTGCATCCTTAGGCTTCAGCGACAGGCAGACCTGAGGGCTAGTTTGACGTTTCGAAGGACAAAGTCAGGCACCTCTTTAAGTCAAGTAAAAAGCAGGCATGTCAATATTTAAACTGAGGTTCTTGTCTGTAAGATGCATTGCTCTGGTTTTATTTCTGTAATTCACAGCATGATGAGAACCTCATTAAGTCACATCTTCTAATTGGGACATTTGGAAAATCATGTCAGGGTAGTGTCTGAAGTTTGTCTGTGTGCCATTGGTTTGGAAATGTCCTGATGCTGCAGAAAATTAGAAGAATGGAACAATGTTTAAGCAACATAAGGGGGCAAATTACAGTATTTTCAGCATCAAAGCAATTCCAAAGCATCCATTTACATTGAAACAATGATGTGGTAATTACAAATGATGCTAATGTATCGAGTAAACATCAATGGAGACCTCAGACGAATGTTGTTAAAGTTGCCTGAGTTTCCGTATAAGATTTAAAATAATCGCATTGTGGTTTTGTTTAAAACATATTAAAATTCAGACTTGTTACTGGTTTGAAAAGCATTTGGTCCAGTCATGCCTAATCAATGAGGCCTAATAGCATTCTGAGCTGAAGAATGTGGTAGAATTCAATCATCCCTTATAGGCTGCCTGCTCTGTGCTTCCCTCTGTGCTTGGTGATGGATGGCTTGCTTTAGAGTATTGGGAAGAACTGGTCTTTGTAAAGAGCTTGAGAAACCCATTTTGGTTCCAAATCTCTAGTAATTCTATTTCATAGTAATCCAGCATCTATAGAGTCTGGATTAATATTTTTATTAATCTCCTTTTGGGCATCAGCCCAGTTAATCACCCTACTACTTGCTCTGTTCAGACCCTAGCCATGTGATGCCCAGCTCACATGGTTATTTTTCTGTGGCATTATTAACTTCGTTTTTCAAATGGTCCATTTTCTCCAAATCGCATTTTATTACCCTCCTCTTGCTTTATCTTTTCCACCTTCTTTCTCCCCCAATACTTCGAAGTATAACTGGGCTAGTTGGGTCCTATTCCAGGTTACCACCCTCAGGAATGTAACAGAAGTAGCAGGTGAAAAGGTAAGATGCCCTGAACACAGATGAGATCAGATTTTACCTGGCCAGGCCACGGAGGATCTTTAAGCTACATTTGCTAAGAACTGGCTGCAAGTCGTGGGCTTCGGGAACCGGGTTTAGATAGAGATACTGATTAAATGGTTAGAGAGAAAGCCAACAACAAAGCTACCTTTGTCTGAGGGGCTGTGATTTCTGTTTCCTGGCTGTGACAGATCATTGAAGAGGGGCAGGTGCTGTCTTGTAGTTCTTTGTGGGTGGACGGCATAGCCTAGGGCCATGGTCGGCAAACTGCGGCTCTCGAGCCACATGCAGCTCTTTGGCCCCTTGAGTGTGGCCACGAAGTTTTAATCACACTGTACGTGCGCGCCCGCACATGGTATTTTGTGGAAGAGCCACACTCAAGGGGCCACAGTTTGCTGACCACTGGCCTAGGGAATGGCTGTCCGCTAGCAAAGAGAGCTGGAGGACATGGGCAAGGCCACCAGTTGTGAAATAATTTCCTGCATGCAACGGGTATGCATTTCCAAAGCAGACACGAGACAGAAATAAACACAGTGTGACTAAAGGGAGTATGCAATAAAGCGGATTGCTTTCTATGCATTTTTGCAGGATTAGCTAATTTATGCAGCAATAAAGCAGATCCTAGCCTATGAAGAAAGTATACCCCTGCATAGCAATTATGGTAACCCATTTATGCCAAATGGACCTGTTTATCAACACCTTTCCTTAGATTTTTATTATGTTGTCAGTTTTGATTTTTGTGTTGTAATTTTCCTAGGTACATGTAAGCTATCCTGTTTGCTATTTTCTATATTTCCTTGTGGGTTATCCATGAAGACCTGCTCAGCCTCGCGGGTCCGCTGCAGGGAGTTAATGGAGAAGCTGCTGTATGCTGCCATGCAGCGTCAGCATTCTTCATTCTTTGAATTGAGTCTGCGGAGGTGGCGTTGACACTGTCTGAATTTATGGGTGACCCTTGCTCTCGACAAATCATTCTAACTCTCTTGGGAAGAGAAGGTAATCCAGGCACACCAGAGCTGCTACTGATTATCATTCTAGGAAGGAGCATTTGTGCACCGGAGCAACTAAAGGCAAATTATATTATGTGGATGCTTGCAAAGTCCCTTTTATTGATTGAGGACGAGAGATTGATATCTTGCTGGCTAAGAGTTTTTTCATCAAATATAATGGACCACCTAACTTAATCTTCACACTTGTCATTGACCTTCCTCTTGTAAAGTATTATTCAACTTCCCATTTGGGGGAGATAATTGAATTTTTAAATTCTTCTGTTGGCCTTGTTTATTTAGTACTTTTTGGTTTGAGTGCTATACCTCATTTGTTTCCAAAAGGACTTCAGGTAGTGCACAGGTTAAAATATACAAAGTAGGGCATGTAAGAATGAAAGCGAAAAAGTGTTTGTTACCAGCCGCTGGAATAAACCAGTGAATACAACTAGAGAATAAATTTAGGTCTTAGGGACGTTGATATATGTAATGGAAAGAGAATCATATTAGTTTTTTGGGGGGGCAGAGGAGGAAAACATGGTTATCTATAAAGACAATTTTGTGTGTGTGAAATAACTAAAATATGATTTTTATTATGTGAATTACATAGTGGACAATATCTTTAATTACTGCACTTCAGAAGGATCAATTCTTACTGCCTCGTCCTTTTAATGCTAAATCTCCACCTGTGAAGGCCCCTTGCCGTGGGCGGCTGAGAGATTGAGCTAGGTCAGTGGTTCTCAACCTTCCTAATGCTGCGACCCTTCAATACAATTTCTCATGTTGTGGTAACCCCCAATTTCATTGTTACAAATTGAACATAATTAAAGCATAGTGATTAATCACTAAAACAATATGTAATTATATATGTGTTTTCCGATGGTCTTAGGCGACCCCTGTGAAACCGCTGAGCTAGGTGCTTATCTTTATGATGTTTTAATTGTGTGTGATAGAACTTGGCAATGACTACATGGCATGTCCATTGGACTGCCTTTTTCAGATACCAGATGTCTTGAATGAAGTTTTGGCAGATGCTGGGCCACATTCAGAATTCAATTAGATTACACAAAGGTTTACTTTATTTATTAAATACTAATTTAATGTTATATTAAAATGAGAGCAGTGTTTTTAGATAGTTTTAACTACTAAGCCTGTTGGTGGAAAAATAAGTGTCAGACGTACATTCTGCCCAAAGAAGAGGCCAATATGGTTCAGCATGTGCATGAGCAAAACAGGATCCAGGGATAGACAATATTTGGAGATTTCCTTTTTTTAAAATTTAAATTGTTTATTGTTTAAAGTATTACATATGTCTCCTTTCCCCCCATTGACCTCTCCCTGGCCACTCCCACTCACAACCCCCAACTGTGTGTTGGAGATTTCCTTTTTAAGATTAAATTAAAACTAGCAAATAATCTTCTATTATGAGCTAGACCTGGAGGTTCAGATTTGAGTGACCTGCTGTTCTTACTCTACTAATTTCTTTCATCTCTAAAGTCAACAGTCTCTCCCTGAGTCCCCCAAAACAGCAGTTGCCAACCGGTGGTCCGTGAGGTCCGAAAGGTTGGCGACCGCTGCCCCAAAGCATGTCTAAGTC